TTAAATGGGTACAGCTTTTTAAATATAATCGTATCTCAATAAAATGTTTTTTTGGGTTTTTTTTTTTGCGAGGGTTAGTTAAAAAAGGAGGACCAGATGTTCCCTTGCCCTTCTCTCCTGCCTTTTTCTTTCCTGCTGCCTGGAATTCAGAGATGATGGGTGGGGATTTAGCAGCCAAATTAGGACCTCTTCTAATGTGCAGCAGAGCAGAGAGCTTGGAGGGGCACAGATCTCTGTGAATTTGCAGAGCCCCTGCACTAGCCCTGCCTCGTGCAACTACAGATTTCTTTTAAATGATAGAGAAATAAACTTCTGCCTTTTGTTCTGGTCAAAACTGGCTTAACCCTTTGGTTAGGGGCCGGGCATGGTGGCTAACACCTTGTAATCCTAGCACTCTGAGAGGCCGAGGTGGGCAGATGGCTCAAGGTAAGGTTTTGAAACCAGCCTGAGCAAGAGCGAGACCACATCTCTACTAAAAAAAAATAGAAAAGAAATTAGCTGGACAACTAAAATATATATATATATATATATATATATATAATTAGCTGAGCAAGGTGGTGCATGCTTGTAGTCCCAGCTACTTGGGAGGCTGAGGCAGGATTTCTTGAGCCCAGGAGTTTGAGTTCATTCTTGTTGTGCTCATGGACTAACAGTTGTGTATCTGACAAAGTTCTTGGAAAAACTGAGGACAACGCTTTGAGCAGGACAAACAAGGTTATAGCTATCACGGAGGGAGAAGACCACGAAAGCGGTAATTTCACTTCACGTGATGGAGGAAAGAAGGACTTGGCACTGTGGGTGGGCATGGGGAGCACCCCTGTATTTTGAAGTGAAAGGGAGAGGCTCTTCCACAAGGTACCTTGTGAGTTGAGACCTCAACGTGATTTAGATTAAGTGATCTTCATAATGAAAACACTACATATGCATTTAACCAAAGTTATGATACACCTCAACTACCATGATAGCATGAGGAGTGGTGGGGGTGTCCTGGTGCAGGGTGCATCTGTGGTGTAACTATCAATACATGGATCAGGAAGGGAAAAATTCATATAAAAATGAAACACCAGGAAGTGAAAAATGAGGATGTTACTTATCAATGAGAAGAAAGATCTAGGATAACTGAAATTGTTCAAAGCACTCTTGGACATTCATAAGTCAAGAATAGCCCCTACCTATTAAAAAGTGGGCAAAGGACTTGAACAGAAACTTTTCTAAAGAAGACAGAAGAATGGCCAACAAACATATGAAAAAATGCTCAACATCTCTAATCATCAGGGAAATGCAAATCAAAACTACAATGAGATATCACTTAACTCCAGTGAGAATGGCCTTTATCAAAAAGTCTCCAAACAATAATGCTGGCATGGATGTGGAGAGAGAGGAACACTCCTACACTGCTGGTGGGACTGCAAACTAGTTCAACCTCTGTGGAAAGCAATATGGAGATACCTTAAAGCGATACAAGTGAATCTACCATTTGATCCAGCAATCCCATTGCTGGGCATCTACCCAAAAGATCCAATGACACTCTACAAAAACAACACCTGCACTCGAATGTTTATAGCAGCACAATTCATAATTGCAAGGCTGTGGAAACAGCCCAAGTGCCCATCAATCCAAGAATGGATTAATAAAATGTGGTATATGCATACCATGGAGTACTATTCAGCTCTAAGAAACAATGGTGACATAGCACATCTTATATTTTCCTGGTTAGAGCTGGAACCCATACTATTAAGTGAAGTATCCCAAGAATGGAAAAACAAGCACCACATATACTCACCAGCAAATTGGTATTAATTGAACAGCACCTAAGTGATCACATAGGTACTACAGTAATAGGGTATTGGGCAGGTGGGAGGGGGGAAGGGGGCGGGTATATACATATATAATGAGTGAGATGTGCACCATCTGGGGATGGTCATGATGGAGACTCAGACTTGTGGGGGGAGGGGGAAATGATTTATGACCTAAAATCTGTACTCCCATAATATGCCGAAATAAAAAATAAATAAATAAATAAAAAGAATAGCCCCCGACCTGGCCTTTGCTTTAGAAGGACCCACTGTGGCAAAAATGATCAAACCTTCCCTCCCTGGTACCTGCTTGGCTTCAATTTCCTACAAAATGTCACCAGACCCCATCCAAAATTTGTAAGGGCTTTTCCTGGGCTCCTCCTCCCATGTCCTGTCAGGGAGCCTGGGTTAGCACCTGTCATCCTAGGGGTTGGTCTGGCTGGACACTTAGCAAGGGTTTGGACAGAGCTGGGGCCTAAATTGAGACCTCTGTGCTGTGCTTATCATGCTCAAATAGGCATGAACTTCACTCAGAGACATTGTTCAAATGCCTGTTTTGATGCACCGGGGCTGGCTTTTATTTCTGGGTTCTGTATTTCAACAAAGTACTGGGACCTGCAAGGTTCCAGTTACTCTCAGGTAAACAGACTCTGACGATTACAACAAACAAGAAATTGCTTGAGATATTTGATGAGCAAAGCACCTATTTGATGTGCGATATGATGATGAATTTTATTAACATTGACACAGATTTTTAAAAGATATATTACAACAAACTTCAATTTAATAATGAATATACCACATCAAGGGAATATCCCCATAATTGTTTTCAGTGAAACACATCAACGGATAAAAACTCTTGTTTCAGGACAGGAAACAGCTTACAAAATGAAGATGGCAAAGGTGAGTCTTCTACGGAGAGTTTCCCAAATTTCAGTCACTGACACATCAAACACAGATTGATCACACACCTTACAATTTACATCACAAGTTGGCCAGGCTCCAGGGCTCATGCCAGTAATCCTAGTACTCTGGGAGGCTGAGGCGGGCAGATCATTTGAGCTCAGGAGTTCGAGACTAGCCAGAGCAAGAGTGAGACCCTGTCTCTACTAAAAAAAAAATAGAAAGAAATTAGCTGGACAACTAAAAGTATATATATACAAATTAGCCGGGCATGGTGGTGCATGTCTGTAGTCCCAGCTACTTGGGAGGCTGAGGTAGGAGGATGACTTGAACCCAGGAGTTTGAGGGTGAACTAGGCTGATGCCACAGCACTCCAGTCCCTGCAACAGAGTGAGACTCTGTCTCAAAAAGAAAAAAAAATTAAGTTACATCACAGGATAATACATTCTGCCATGTCTTTATTCAGTTTATTATAAGTGTAACTTAATTAACATAATTTACTTGCTAGTTTGATAAGTTTAATTCTACAGACAATTTGCGTTTACTCCAGTCCATCAGGGAATGCCTGCGAATTTGAGTCCAGCATCACCTGGGGTCCCACCATCGGCACAAGCTCCAGAGCTGGGGAAGGTGATTCCCCAGACACAGGCTGCTCCCTCCACGCTCCCCTCCTCAACACAACAGTCCCCTCCCAGGCCACGTGGCTGGAGGCCGAGTCTCCCTCCCCCTGGTGTCTCAGGCCACGTCACTGTCCTCAGAGGATGAGGAAAGCCAAAGGTCCTCATACAGGACACTCGGTGGGACCCGGGCACAGGGAGCCTCAGACTTCTCTGGGGCGTGAGGGTTCTGGGCAGGAGGACCTGGCTTCTCAGGGAGGAGGCAGGAGGGAGCTGGCAGGAGCCTGGAGCTCCACTGTCCGCTGTCCAGTCTCCTGAAGGCCATCCTGAGGGGCTGGCCTGGAGCAGGGCTGGGTGACGGGAGACGGGGCTCGGTGCAGGCCTGGACAGGGCTCAGGAGACTTCTGCCATGTGGAGGCTGCAGGTCAGTGCCAGCTTTCTGGGCAAGTTTACTCCTATTCTCTTGGGAAGCCTCTTTCGGTCCAAATTTATTTATACTGAGTGCCGACTGAAGACAGCTCTGCCCTCTGCATGTATTTATTGCAGGGTTGGGAAGGGCTGAGTCTGAGTTTATGTAAGGATTCTGACAAATCTGGGTGTCGATTCCGGCAGCTCTCTTGCCTCCTACTTGAGGCTGCCTTTGGGGTCCTGGATCATCTGGGGGTTCAAGGCCACCTCCAGAACTTCAGTGGAACCACCATGAGGTCCACTGTCTGTCATATTGAGGGCACGTTAGCGTCCTGGGGAGAGTGCAGGGATGTGGACAGGGGTGTCAGGAGTGGACGCTTACAGTTGCTTATTTTGTCCAGGAGCTTGAAGAGGACCTCAGCTCAGGTCTTCTCATGGGAGCCACTGCAGGGCAGGGCAGATGGGCTTCATGGCAGTGTCTTTACAGGTGAGAACAGAGTCAAGGACAGATTTTATCTAGTTCCTGTGGAGAGAGATTGACCTGGGAAGATACTGATGGCAAAGACACCTAAATGGAACATCAATTCAGGTTTCCTCTACGTCAAGTGAAAGAGGAAACTCACCAAATAAAATGCTATGGGTCATGTAACAGAAGAAATGGCTTGCCAACGGGCACAAACATTTTATGTGCCTTCAAAACATCCCCCTGCAGCCATGCCTCAGGCCAGTGGTCTGAAGGCGAAGGGGAGGTGTCTGGGTGGAGGTCTTCGAGACCACTTTAGGTGAAGAATGGATTAATCCAGCAGAGATCTTGAGATCGTCTTAGCTGAAGATGGGATTGATCAGAGCCCTTAAAAGCTTTGTACTTCTGCTCAGAGGGGAGGCGCTGGGACTTTGAGACAGGATTCTTCCAGCTTTTTCATGTGCTGGCAAATGAATAAACTCCTCTTTAGTTCTCCGAAAACCACTGTCAACATTCCTCTGATGGGGCTGAGGGAACAAGTGCCGAATTTTTAGTCAACAGTCACATAAAGCAGGCAAAGAATTACAAATGATCATTTTATTGGGGAAAGCATCTCAAATTTGTGAAAGCAATTTTGAATAACAACTTCATGAATTTTCTCCATCAGATCGAAGATTATGACAGTTTTTCATACCCTGCCCTGTTAAAGATCTTGATACAAGCATTTTTATTCATGGTTTTCCAGAACAGAGATGAATATGTTTTCAAGGCAGTTTCATAGAATTGTGTTTTCCTGGAAAGTCTGGGAATATGCATCAGACTTTATCAGATTTTCTCCCATATAGGATTATACCTATAGGAGGCATCTGACAAAATCACTTCCACATACCTCCCCTAGTACATTGCTGGCACACAGACTTACAATTGTACAACTAAATAAATACATGAAAATGACATCAGAAGAATACATGAAAATGACATCAGAAGAAATGACATCAGAAGAATGAAAACTTAACCCCACAGTCTAGAATTCAATTGTCTGCTGAGTCTTCACAGCAAAGCGGGTGGGAAGGGGGCAGATCCGGGTCACTGACTGGCAAAGTGGGCCAGGGACCCAGAGGAGAGCCTCCCCCTAAGATAAGGGAAAGGTTCTGTCAGTTCCAGCCACTTTTGCTTCTCACAGAAAACTAGCAGATAATTTCTAATGACCGAGGTGACAGGACAACTTTTGAAGATATGAATAATACGTAGCCAAATCCTCAGGAAGGAATTATTCCCAAGGACTTTGCATCTATAAAAACTTCCATCACTAAGTTAGCAAAAAGCCTCTCATCCCCAATTACACAGATTCCCTCCAAACCCAAAAGTCTACTTATCCAAATACTCTCTGCATCAAAATCCAAAGTCTGACCAAGGCCAGGCGAAATGCAGAAAACCCTGCATTCTCCTCTTGTACACCACCCACACCAACCATGACATCAGTACCATCAACACCACCAGAAAACTCGTGCCCTGCTCGTTGCTACCTCTGGCCCTTCTTCCCAGAGAGGGGACTTTACCAGTGCTCAGGGACACCTGCTCTGTCACGTCCCTGGCTGGTTTTTGCAGCAGGTAGTTGTCCTGCTCAGCATGACTCTTTTTCACCTCACTCCTGTACTTCAATTCAGGAGACATGACTCCATTGGAGTTGAATTCAGGCTGTGGTCGGTTTTGTTCCTGGTGGCATTTCCACTGATGTAATAGGAGCTCTCTAGTTGTTTTCCCAAAGTACGCCTCCAACTCAGGAACCTTGATGCAAGCGTCACTTCTGAGCCCCCCTTGGGTTGCTCCCATGTCTGTATCTTCAGGCCCACGGCCTCTCAGTTTCTCCCCTGTTGAGGCACACCCACCGTCTCTCTCCAGTTCACTCTTGTGGATATAAAAGAGGATGTAGGCATGTTGACTGAGGACAAAAGAAATATCACAGGCGGTCACCTTAGCATCATCCATTTTGTACCACTGGCCATTCCCAGCTTTGACATAGCAGAAGTAATGTCCACTTTGACAGCTGCTCCCAGCATGGACCAGCACAGCATACAGGAGGTAAACAAGGGGTCCTCTGTTCCGCTGAGACATGTATGGTTGCATGTCAAGGCACTCGGGATATTGCACTTCTTTTGCAATTTTGTTGCCTGTGACATCTGAGAACCTTTTCAACACAAGCATCAGGACCTTGGAGGCAGTGTGCACAGTCAGACACTTGGACGCAGGGACCTTCTTTAGACAAGTACCACAGTGATAGGCATCCTCTCCGTCCAGGTGCTCGGGCTTCACCAACCATTGCAAAGCTTGGTTGAGGCTCTGAGCTGCCTCGATATCCAAGGCGATGTCCAGGTAAGGTTCAAAGGTGTCTGAAATGCCATGGCAGTGCAGACACTTGATCTGAGACCTCCAGTAGCCTCCAAATATTTGACGGATTAGGGTTGTGTCCTCAGAGTGGCCATCTAAGGGCTTGTGCCCAGACAGACAAGCTTTCTTCATGCCATCCACAGTGAAAATTAGAAATTCATGGGCATCTTCCTGGGTGTATCTATGGAAGCCAGCAGCCAATGCATGTGAGGGCTTAAAAACATTTCCAGGAAGCTGCAGGGCCCTTGTAATATGATCTTGCATGCTGCAGAGCATGCAGTATTTCTGACTATGACAGGTTAGAGAATGCTCCCGGGACAGCATATAGTTGGCGAGGGGTGGTGTGTATGTCAGGCACTGCAGTGCAGCATTCATGTAGCACGTGTTTCCCACATTCCAGAGCCCAGCACCAACCCCATAAGGTCTCTTCCAGGTCAGCAGCAGTTTGTCCCTGGGAGCCAATTCTTTTGTCCCAGGAGCCTCTTTCGAATACAGGTCGGGATCTGTCGGGGATAACAATGATTAGTTGTCATTTAGAGAATGACTGGCATTGTCTATAACATCAGGTGAAATTGGCTGCGAAGGTCTGAGTTTCAGAAAGAGGGTGAAAGGGGACTCACCTTCCCTGTGGACTGAAGCAACCTCCATGGCTCCAGGAGCAGTGATCGCAAGGCTTCCCTGCGGGTTCCTCAACTCAAGTAAGGATGCTTCCCGTCATGAGACTGTCTTCAAATGGCAGGTTTGTCTCCACCTCAGCCCTTTTATGGCTCATCCGACTCCCCTCACCCACTCACTAGGTACAGGATGCACCAATCAAGTCCAAGCAATTAAGTGGATTAGGAAGCCTCCGGGTGTGTTCTCTGGAATTCCCCAGCTAATCCAATCAGCACCCTCCCCAAAACTATTTAGAAAACACCTGAGGCAGATTGAGCTAACAGGATCCTGCATGAATATCCCAAGAGTGGAACAGAGGTGGGCATATATTTGTCTTAGCTCTTTGAAAACAATAATGGAAGAACATCAGATATTAAATAAGAAGTTGGACTCACACTTCCTGATTTTAATTCTCCCTGCAAAGCTACAGTTACTAAGACAGAAGAGCACTGGTGTGAGATCAAACATAGAGACCAAGGGAATAGAACAGATGGCCCAGAAAAAACCCTCCTTCTATGGACAACTGACATGAATGATTGGTACATAGGTATCGAAAATTTTCAATGTGGAAAGGATAGTGTTTTCACAAAATGCTACTGTGAAACTTAGATATCCATAAAACAACATAAATTTCTATCATTACCTAAAGCAAGATCACAATTTTAATCAAAACTGATGAAAGAGTAAATGTAGAAAATAAAGTATAAGTGATTTAGAAGAAAGGCAGGGCAAGGTGGATCTGGCCTGCAATGCCTGATTCTGGGAGCTGAGGCTGGTGGATTGTTTGACCCCAGGAGATGCAGACCAGCCTGAGCAGAAGTGAGATACCATCTCTAATAAAAATGTTAATTGTACCCAGGTGTAGTGGCTCACGCCTGTAATCCCAGTACTCTGGGAGGCTGAGGCAGGAGGATTGCTTGAGCTCAGGTGTTTGAAACCAGCCTGAGCAAGAGCAAGACTCCATCTCTACAGAAAATAGAAAAAATTAGCCAGGCATGGTGGTGCATGCCTGTAGTCCCAGATACCTGGGAGGCTGAGGCAGGAGGATCACTTGTGCCCAGGAGTTTGAGGTTGCTGTGAGCTAGGCTGATGCCATGGCACTGTAGCCCAGGCAACAGAGTGAGACTCTGTCACAAAAACAAAATGTTAATAGTAAAATTAGCTGAGCATGGTGAGGCAGTCCAGTAGTCCCAGGTATTCAGGAGGCTAAACCAGAAGGATCCCTTGAGTCCAGGAGTTTGAGGCTGCAGTGTGCTATGAACTCACCTCTACAATCAAGCCTGGATGACAAAGTGAGATCTTGTCTCTAAAAAGAAACACAGAGAGAAGTAAAAAGAAAAAATGCAAAATAAACTGAGGAAACTATTTAAATAGACATCTCTCCAAAGAAGATACACAACAGCCAATAAATCTGGGAGGAGCTGCTAAACATCATTATGTGTTCAGTAAATTCAAATCAAACTAGGAGGATAGACTGCTCCATTAGTTCCTCCTACCCACACCCTTAGGTAGGAGAAGATTACGTAAATCAAATAAACCAATCAATCGGTGAGAAAACAAAAACTTTTGTTAAAGATGTAGGGAAATGGAACTCTTAAATATTATTACTAGAAATGAGAAAATGATGCAACCCTGTGGAAAACAGTAAGGCCACTCAGTAGAAACATAAACCTATGACTACTATAAGATTCAGAAACTCTACTTTTGTGTATGTAAATAAAAGATTAGAAGCAGGGATGAAACATATTTGTAAACAATTGTACATACTAGCAATATTCACAAAAGCAAAAGGTGGAAGCAACTCAAATATCCATCAACAGTTGAATCTATAAACAAAATATGGAATGTGATTGTGTGTTTGTGTGATGTAATAAGCTTTAGTCTTAAAAAGAAATGAAAGTGTTTATTGACACAGTGTTAAGGAGAAGATTTGTAAATAACACAAGTGTCCACCAAAATGAGAAGGGTTCAAACAGGACGCCCACTGCTTCTACACAAATAGGCAGTAAACGACCATGGAACTGACAAGATACATGTGGGTCTGTGTGGCCATCTAGAGACTTTTTAGGAGTAATTATTCGAGTCACAAAGCAAGATGAAAAATAAGCCCGGCTATAAAGGACACATAATTTATAATGCATGTCACATGAGTTTTCTAGAGCAGTCACAATCATAGAAAGGAAAATTGTGATTTGCAAAGGATTCTGGAGGAAAAATGTGGAGTTTCAGATGGAGAAATGAGAAGTTCTTGACAGATCGATAATGCTGATGGTGGAATATCATTGTGAATGTACTTGATGACACAAAACTATAGACTTAAATATAATTAAAATGGTATGTTTCCTATTATATATATGATAGCACAGTAATAAATGCAAGATGCAAACTGAAACAGATATATGTACAAATATTTATTTAGTCTTACAAAAACACATATTCTTAACACCATGCAGGGGTACCTATATTTTTTAAAAGTTCTTCCAAAGGGAAAACAACAAAGTAAAGTAAACTGCTTCCAGGGACAATTAGGCAGCATATAATTGAATTAAGATGATTAGGTTAGGTCACACCTACAACTGCCAAGCCACGGAACTGTGGCAAGGACAGGAAGCCTCCCTCAGGGCCCCTTGCCCAGGAGTCCCGGCTGCTGCAGCACACCCGGCAGAGCTGGCCCCGCATTCTCCTCTGAGAACCCACTGACAGACAGTAGGTGGTCCCCGCATTTCAGTTTTGTGCCTTGCACTAATTTCTTCTTGAGATTACACTTCAGAAAAATAGTAAAACAAATAGATGATATTGTGGTTTTAGGTAATGAGGTAGCATGTTTTTTTCTTTTTGATTGTATTCATTCGAAAAGAGACCTAAAATATTTCAGTTAGATGTCAAATATTTCACAAAAATTTACATTCCTAAGGAAATATACCCAGCCTCCTGACGTTGTAGGCAAACAGGAAAACAGTTTTTGGAAACTGGTGGTTTTGTCTGTGGACACAAAAAGCTAAATATTTCATCTGTCCTTCATTTATTCAAACATTACATTGTGCATTTTTTTGAACATATACATGGTGGACTTCTGGAGTTAGGACAACAATTCAAATACTGTAGACCATAAACTTATAGGTTAGTAGGGAAAAATAACACTTGTATGTGAATTTTCATTAGGAAATTGTATATTTTAGCTTCCAAAGTGACATTAAAAAGTTAATAGGAAAGCATGTTTGATTTCTGATTTTCAAATATGTGTGCTCCAGGATTCTGGATGATATTTTCTGTAGCTTGGATTATTTTGTCGTCTTGGAAAATATTTTCTTTCATGTCACTCATAGAGGAAAGTGTCATAGAGCTTTTCAAAGTCTTTAGAATTAACCCTTCAAAGGCAAAAATCTAAATTGACCGTTTCTATGTGTCTGGTCTTAGGAACGACCCTATTTGCGAATAAGTAATGATGGGAGAGGAAGATAACACATCAGGGAATGAGAGGCCACTTTGTGAGGAAAGGGTCTGAGGAAGTGGTTGATAGGTCCTCCTCAAGGGCAAGAAGGTGTTGGTGGGATATTTTTCACAATGTTAATTTATAATGCTCTTACGTGTTCTTTTTTTTTTTTTTACTCAGGAGATCCAAAGGTCCACCCCTGAGGTCATCCAACCTCAAGCTGCCGGGAGATGAGACGGGTGGCGGGTCACTACCCACAGTCTGAGAGACACACTCAGCAGAGCCCAGACTATGAGGAAGCAGCAGAGGGGACCCGCAGGGCCCAGGGCTCCCCGACCCGAGGAGGAGAATCCCAGGGTAAGTGGAGACGACGATCTTTGGGGATCAGGGGACACACGACCTCAGAGTCGGGGGGTGACTGTAGAAAATTCTGACACCATTACCCAGTTTTTTCTTTCACCTTGCAAGGAGGGTGTGCCTTTAAGCCTCTTACGGCTGGTTGGTCCATCAGAGACTTTTTGAGGAGTGAACTCACTTCCCAGTAGTTCATGTGCAGGGATCCTATTCCTGTTTCTATACATTTTGGATTCCATTTTGCGCTTTTTTTATTTTAGTAAGATTGTTTGCAGGACTGCTAACAATATTCCTGGAGGGGCATGTGGAAAATTTTAATTTGAATCTGCAAAATGTATAACATTACCTCAAAGCACATGGATCTTCAAAGTGAATAAGTATTTCCAAATTTTACATCAAATTTTTTATCCATCCAACTGACATCAAAAGAGCATTGGCAGAACACGATTCATGGAAAAGTGCCACAGAAGTTTTTAACCTTAACCTTATTGAACAAGAGACAAATTTTCAAATACTGTATTTTCTATAATATGATGGAAATATATCAAGTTAATTTTTTAAATTTTCCTTGCACTAGTCACTGCAATTGTGGTACCCATTTATATGTAAGTGATTGTTTTGAATTATTTTATTTTTACATTGAATGTTATTTGCTCCTTGAGTTTTTAATTGCTTTGTTTTCCTTTTCACTTGATGGTGAAGTTTTTCTAATGTGTGTTATCTTTTCCTACAGATTCCAAGTAGGCCAATGCTGGTCTACACAGCCAAGAAGAGTCCTCTCTTAGACTCTGTTCTCACTAGTCAACCACCTGTCAAGAAATCTGACTTGAGCTCTGTGGGATATTCAGTGTCTCCCATCACAAGACCTGAAAAGTGCACCTTCTTCAATAGTGAACCAAATAAAGGACAGTGGCTCTCACTGACACCTGAAAACCTGCATTAAAGCACTATGACCAGGACCCTCTCATCTTTGACAATCTGGCACACCACAGGCCTGATGATGTCTCCCTTGCAGCTCCCTGGGCTGCTTTAAAAATCCTTGGCCTGGGCCAGGACCTCAAGCCCCAGGTAGGAGGCATGTGTCCTGCTCTGATGTCACAGCCTGATGCACAGAACTCAGGCCAAGACTTCAATCTCAGCATCAGGGCACCAGGCAAGAGATCTGCCCAGAACCCCATCCAGACTTGACAGTATCCCAAAAAGAAACTGAGACTCAGCACCTTCCAGAACCCTCAGAAGAACACTGAGAGACTAGAGCTACACCCTCTGCAGACTGAACAGCCTCCATCAAGAGTACCTGGACTTAAAGCCGAATTGTCCCCTCAATTGACCAGGAAGAATGCAGCCCAGGTGCCCAGCAGTGACCTGCAGCCTACACAGAGCAGAAATCTCCTGAACCCTGTCCAGGCCTGCACCGAGCCCTGTCTCCTGTCACCTAGCCCTGCTCCAGGCCAGCCCCTCAGGATGGCCTTCAGGAGACTAGACAATGGACAGTGGTGGAGCTCCAAGCTCCTTCTGGCTTCCTCTTCTCTCCCTCCTGAGAAGCCAGGCCCTCCCGCTTAGAGCCCAGACTTCCTAGACAAGTGTGAGGATCAGTGTGTGTGAGTCCCATTTAATATCCTCTTTGAGGACTTTCATATTTCCTCCTCTGAGGACAGTGACTTGGAATGAGACACCAGATGGAGGGAAACTTGGCCTCCAGCCTCATGGCATGGGTGGGGACTGTTGGGCTGAAGAGGAGACCATGGAGGGGGATCGGCCTGTGTCAGGGGATTCACCTTCCCCAGCTGTGGGGCTTGTGCCAATGGTGGGACCCCAGGTAATGTTGGACACAAACAGACAGTGCATGAGTGAATTATAGAAACTCACATTGTGTTGAAATGGCAATTATTTAACAGGCAAGCAAAGTGTTTTTAATGAAGTTAATTGTGTAATAAACTGAGTTGACATGTAGGAGTAAGTTGTAAACTGTAATGTGAACAACAAACTAGGAAATGATTCTGTATTTGGGGTTCAAATGACTGAATTTGGAGAATTTTTAGGTTATTCCTGTGAACTGAATCTCTCAGCAATGTCCCTTGCCTGGGCAGGAGGGCCACAGGTAGCAAGATGAGGAACAAGCAGGGCTTGAGTTCGCTACTTCTGTTACAATAATCTCAGTAGGACAATTGACCCCTGTGAGATAACACACACACACACACACACACACACACACACACACACACACACACTCAGTCACTAGCCAGAGGAAGACAGGAACAAATGAAGAGGTCAGGTTTGGGTACCTGGGGCCACAGGGCAGTGCTGGCTGCATTTCTGGATGAGCCCCCATGTCCTAAATACTTGTTTTACATTTTCAAGTGTTCTCAACATTTCAAACATTTGGAGGAACTTTCTACGTGCATATGTTTAAAGTATATGAAATTTAGTGAGAATTGCTGAATGTTAGGTATTGAATTTTAGGATTCTGCTTAGAAGGTGTTGGAGAGGATTGCATTTATTACTGGGTTTCATGATTTTCCAGTTGTGCTGTATTATCCCTTGTGCATAGACATGTTTGGTTTTGGGTTTGTGGGATATCTATGAATCATATTCATGACTTTCACTAACTGAAATTGGAGTAAATTTTAAAGACAGGTGTGATGTTTTTACTTTTCCATGCCTTATTTGGGTATAAATTGTTTCATGTATTTTAGTTGGTTATCAAAGTAATTCTCATAGAGTCTTGTGGGGATATAGCAGGCTGGGAAGCCTACATTTTTTTGGAGATACATGCTCATATTGCATGGTCAGTAAATGTGACATTGTGTATACATGGTTATTAAATTCAATTGTAAAGCTGTAGTTTTTAAATCTGTTTCAATGTTAATAAAATTCATACCAATATGACATATCCAATAGGTACTTTGGTTTCTTTTCTTCCTGGGAAACAGGGTCTGAATCTTTACCCAGGGATGAGTGTAGTAGCAACATCATGGTTCACTGCAAGCCCCAACTCCGAGGCTTAAGCCATCATCCTGGCTCAGCTGGAAAAACAGACCAGTGAGTCCATGCCTGACTAATTTTTGTGATTTTTTTGTATAGTTGGAATGTCCTATGTTGCCCAGGGCTTAACTTCTCAACACCTCAGACTAATTTCTTGGTAGTTCTAGTCATCAAAGTTTAATTAGCTGATAGTAATGAAAAACATTACTATTGTTTTCAGGTTGATGGGAAAAGTATAGACTTCCTTAATTTGAATTGATAAATCATGTCCTGTGTGAAATAAAAAAAGAACTAAAGGTAAAGAGGGGAAGTAAAAACAGACGTCTGTATAAACATAGGCGGTAATTTTGCTCAGACAGTTTTCTGCCCCCCCCAGCTCACTGCCCAGGCCCTGGCCCTGTGAAGTCCCTGCTGCCGCTCGGGTGAGCAGCGTGGAGATGGAAACGAGGTCCAGAGCAGATGGAAGCTGCAACCGCACGTTCCCCGCCGCCCATCGCGACCCCGTCGCCCTCCGGAGCCCGGGACGCGGTGGCACCGGCTGCGCACGCAGCGCCGCTTCTCCCTCCGCGCGCGGAAACGGCCTCTGACGTCACCTGAGTTCGCGCCGTTCCGAGGGAAGAATATAAACGGTCTGACGAGAATAAGCCGTAGCCATAAAACATTAGAACCATTTTATTAATACTTCAACCTGGTGGAAGAAGCCCCGCCCCGCTGCACACACCACGCAATCGCGTGGAGACAAACCGGAAGTCTCAGGATCCACCAGGCGGAAGTAGAGACTGACCCGGATATGGCACGAGGGAGGCGTCTAGACCCCGCCCTGTAGAACGCCCAGTTTTCCGATGACCCGGAAGCAGTCCTTTCTTGCCAGAGTGAGTGCTGGTGTTTCTGAATCACAACCGGGTTCTCTTGCCCCCATCGCCTTGTCTTCTGCCCCTGGGTCCGTGATTGGCCTCGGAGGCCACAATCCCTACAGCCACCCGCAGAACTCTTGGGTCGTCTTCAGAGGCAGTCAGGAGTCCTCACAGGGAGCTTCTCCTCGGGATGGATCCACAGTGGGTTTCCGTGGGCGGAGCGCGCATGCGCTCTTGCGGTCAGGAATGGAAGACCTGCGCGCCCTCTGCCGGCTGTATTGCCGCAGTGCAAGAGCTGAATTGGCATCGCTGAATTTTGTTTTTCAGATTTTTCAGTGCTTGAATTTTGGAAGTTCTAATGGAAGTGCAGCACGGTATCTTCTCCTTTGAGGAAAGTGGATAGAAATAATAAGAAAAATACAAGTTCGGAATACAAAAGTGGATTGATTTTCTTTGTGTGGACGGAAGACGGGGTCGAATAAGAAAATTGTGTGTGACACTATCCTGGTGTATATCTGCCACTATGCATGTGTCCAATCCCATAGCACTTGTCAACACAAATAGTACATCTTATTGTGGGTGAGAACCACAGGTAATGTCAGCTACTGGTTGGGAGTAAATTTAATGCTTAAGTAAATAGATGAAACTATCAATATAATGGGTGCTCCTGCTTGGCCCAGGCCCTGCGTCTCCAGCCAAGATGCCAAGCATTAGAGTTGATTGTCCTCGTGTTCCCAGTCAACTTTAAATAAACCTGGCTGCAGTGGAGAATCACTGTGGAGATTCTAAAATAATGCTGTATCAATTACAGCTAGGGAAGTGCTCATTTAATTCGTATCAGGAAGGTTTACGGTTTGGGGAGTTTGCCAATTTGGCTAAAACTCAAGTCATCCTAGTTTGTATCCTGAGAGATTTTCCCTTGATCTTTAGGGTCAGTGTTGGGGGGGCGGGTTGAAGGAAAACACATTTCCAAGCTCTGGGCTCAAAAAAGAGAAGGAATACTTTCTCATAATGTTCATTTTGATTGTGGATAAGAACACTGAATGAAATATAAGATGGGCGTGTGTGGTGGCGGAAGGGTTGGAGAGCTTTATTCTTCTGTTTTGCCTTGTGAGCTGCAGTAAGGGTAGCACAGCTGTGTGACTGTCTGGGTGATCACTCAGAACTGACCTGAATAAAATGTGTGGTGTCCTGAGATGGACTCCTACCCCCACTAGGGTTCAGAGACAAATCCAAGGAGCTGTCTGTGGGGTATGAAAGTAGAGCTGCCTTATTCTTTGACCCCAGGAAGCTCCTCAGGGCAGAGAAAAAAACACAACAGTTTATACCAGATTTCTTTGATGCCGCTCTCAATGCTCAACTAAATCCAATTCATGGCACTCTGGGGAACCAGACAGATGGTGCTAAAGATCCCTGTTATGTCAACTCCAGGGATAGATAGAGAACAGTGGTTTTGGTGGAATTTGGGATGAGAAAAGGTGTGCTGTGTGGAAAAAGCTGTCGAAGGCTGGAGAGACTCAGAGAGGGGTGCTGAATCTCTACCCACATGCCAATGAGAACACATGCAAATCTGTGTCTTAGAATTGCAAAAATAATACTCAATCTATGTCAATAGATTAGATTTTTCAGCAATAGGTTTTATGGTTTGAAATGAATACATTTGCAAGTATTAATATATTGACAAACAGTTCAATTTCTTACACCATTCTGCATTCAATATTCTCAGATCAATACATTAACACGCCACAGTTTTATGAGTAGACATTTTCTCAGAATTCAGAATGATTTGATAAATTGTGTTAAAGGTATATTTTGGAGTCCACTTTCCATCCTTGACCCAGTTTTCTGACCAGAAATCTAGCAGGCCATTTCTTCACATTGATTCTTGGATAGATATCCCCTCAATGTGAGAAACTCGGTGTTAACTAAGGAATACATGATCAATGAGGACTTTCTCCTTTTGTAGCACTAAGAGTATTTTATGCTGTAAGAAATCTTACATGTGCCAGAAGTCTTGCTCTATGAATAAAGGGTGTCTCGTGATTTTTCACCAAATAACTTCTCCAGTATGACATATTTTGTATTTCACAAGGGTATTCACTGCTGTTTTAAAGCCTTTCTTCTCATATTTCTTGTTTTTCCAACTATTTCCTCTCAGAGTTTTCTTGTACACACCAAGCCTGGTGCTTGGAAGAATATTTTTTCACCTTATCTACAGAACAATAAGCTAAGGCATTTATTTAACAATAAACTAAGGCATTCCTACATTAATTATACACATAAGTGTTCTATCTTCTACAGATTCTTTGGTGTCTTTTAAATTATAGCTGTGGTTCACTATCTTAAAATTAATTATATTGACAGTTTTGGTTCTCTTGTGTCAGCTATGATCCAACCACTCACAAGTTATTGCTACCTAGATGTAATTTATTCTGGATTCTCTTCTGTGTAAATTTACTTGTATAGACTGAGGAATAAGGATACCTGAAGTGCCAGTAGTGATCTTCCATTTGATTACAGTGTTTCTTCAATTAAGTCCTATGGTGTGTTTAGATTTTAAAGCTATGGCTAGAGTCTCATGATCATTTCTTACATTCATCATTTCTAATACCATGCCATTTAAAGTCAAAGAATTTTCAGAAGACATTTGTAATTTTCTCTTGACTATGAATGGTCTTGTGTTGCCTAAGGTTAGTACACTGGGTAAAGGCTTTCCCAACTTAGATTGGCATTTATATGGTTACTCTCCAGTATGAATTCTCTTGGATGATTGAAGGCCAGATTGTTGACTGAAGGCTTTCCCGCACATCACATTTATATTGTTTCTCTCCAGTGTGAATTTGAACGTGGTTTCCAAGTTCACAGCATGAAATAGAAGCTTTTTCACATAGGTGACATTGATATGGTCTCTCTCCAGGGTAAGCTGTCTCATGTCATCTAAGGACAGACCACTGACTAAAGGCTTTTCCACATACATGACATCCATATGCTTTCTCTCTGTGAGTTTTCTCATGTTGTATAATGTGAAAATACTCACTAAAGGGTTTGTGACATACATGGTCTTTGTACAGTTTCTTCCCAATGTGAGGTTCAGATCAGGAGCGAATAGGGTGATTCATTGTAATTAGAGTTAGTAAAGTCTGCAAAGTATTCACTAACAAAATGTCTAGTCCTTAACTAAACTAACTGATTTCTCAACATAGCCTAACTCATTGTAACTCAATATAGATGGATGTTTATTCACAAACTTTAATCTTTTGCCAAAATGTTTGTAGCTTATGTTCCTATTTAACAAGGGTTTCTGGACAAACTGTGCACCCACATCCTTCTAATGAACTGAATGTCCAAAAAAACATGGACTCTCAATGTTCCCATGAGGGCCATTCTGCACACATAGGGCAGCTCTGTCCATGAGCATCACTAATGAGCACAGACAGGCACTTAGGATCCAGACAGAAACATTCCACTGGTGCTAGACAGCCAAAGACGGAAATGCTCTCTGCCTCCTGGAAATGAAGCCAGGCCTCCTTCTCTCTGCAGCCATGAGGATTCCTGTCCCCCTCTTTACCATTCTCTTCTGTATGAGCCAAGTTCTACCAGGTAACAAAATACACTTTGCAGAAGCCTTGGTGAGAGTAGAGTGCCTGAGACCTTACAGGGATCCAATATGTAAAGCAAAATGACCATCACCTATGACCGAAAAGGGGGTTTTGTAGGGAATCTGGAAGACCCCTTGGCTGAGATTCCTGCAGCCACCTGATTCATTAGTTCTCCACAGCAACTCTGTTAGATGAAATGGAAGCAAGTTTGTTTCAAGTAGTTGAAACCCTCTTTACTCCATCACTAAATGTGAATTTAGTTAGGCAGGTTTGCTAGCAGTTTCTAGATCTTGACAACAAAAGAATAGGGTATTATTCTACAAACATTTGTCTTAAAAACTTCTTTACTTCTTTCATCAAAAGTGATTTATCCTAATTCACTGCTGTAAGAGCTACTCCAAAGCCATAGTGGTCTCAGGCAGAAGGGACTAGGGGTCCCTAGGTCTCCTTGAGAAGATTACTGTACTCTAAGAAATCTCCAATCCATTGCCTCATAATATTCATGGTACTTTGGGATTGACTGTCCCTTAAGGCTCCATCCCAGTTCCAGGCTTTCCCTCTTCCTTTTCAATGTCTAGTTTTCTAATGTAGAACTTAAACAGAAGAACCAGAGATGAACCTACAACAGAGTATATTCTGCATCCAGGATGCATGTGTGAGTCACAGGTGTAATGCACCTTGCACAGACATGCTTTGGGGTAGTGTGTGTAGGACACTTTTCTTTTACCCATAGAAGTGACCAGATATCCAAAATAGATCTGGACATTGCCTGAAACTCCTGAATATGTAGATCCAAAAAATAATGAACAATTTATTGCCTTGAATCATGTGGAATATCTTCTTATCTTCTCCTAGAATTCAGGACCTTGAGGGTTGTGAAGGAGTCAGAAAGTGGTTACAGATATGTGAGAAGGTGGACAATTCTTTTGTATTTTCAGGAACTGTCAATTGCTGTACTTTATGTTGTTTGAAAAAAGACATTACCCAAAATTTACAACAGAAAACATAATGAGAGGCATGCATATTCTTGGTGAATCCAGACCATCCTGTCTTAATCTGTGATAGCAACTTTTGAAGGGCTACACAGTGTTAATGGGAAGCTAGACCCTCAGGATTGAGAGGTGAGGGGCGGTTTGTGAGACAATGCCCATTTTACTTCAGGAAAACTAATCTGGAAGAAGTAAAAGGAAGAGGTTGAATTGGGGAGAGAACAGAAGTAGCAAACTAGTTCACTTTTTTAGATATTTGTTAAGCATCCACTGTACGTGGTCTTACAAGGAAACAAGCAAAGAACAAAAATGCAGGACCTTTGACTCCCAAAAAGCCATAGGTTGGTCGCTTTGACTGCTGTATAGTCCAGGGAAAAGTTAACAAGCTCCTAAATTATAGCATTGATATAGGTTGGAAAGAGGTTTTATTAATTAGAGTTATTAGAGAAATAACATATGACCAAAAGAAAGCCAAACCACAAGTAACACAAGGCTTGAAATCCTAAGGCAAAGCGTTGGGGATCCTGACTGTATGTCAGGTTGTGGAAGGAAAATCATGGCAACAGTGAATATTGATAGTCTTCAAGCTGTCCGTCCCAGGATTCCCTCTGCACCTTTCCCTTGGTAATACTGTGTGTTTCTCTGTGTGTGTGTGTGTTGTGTCTTTGCATGTGTGTGACATATGTCCTCCATCCCACATCCCACATGGGTTTGGGGAGGAAGGACAGGCTGGTCAGGACCTACACCCCCATGGATGGGCTAAGCTACTCCATCAGAGTGTGAAGAGCTGATATGTAAGAGACTCATTCAACATTTTATAAACTACCTTAAAAATGCTTTCATTTTTGTGAAGAGAAGATTGAGTAATTTTTATTTTTTTTCCTTTTATTTCATCATGTTATGGAGGTAGAGATATTGCTGGGGTTACAAACATTGCCCCTGCCCCCCTCGCTCCCCCCATGTGTCCTATCCCGAAGTGGTGTGCACCACACACGCCATGTAAGCATACACCCCTTTCCTCCTCCTCCTCCCACCTGCCCACCACCCGATAAAAAGTGGTTTTTTTTCCTTTTTTGTTTGCTTGTTTTTGTTTTTGTTTTTTTACTTTTTGGTTACATAGTATATCCTTGCCTCTCCCTAAGAAGGGTTAGAGTTATGCCCTTCCCCTCTAAAATGCTCGCCACATCCCTAAGATTGGGTCCTCCCCACCGCCGCCGAATCCCTGGTGAGCACTGCCACCATTTGAAAACCATAGTTTTAGTCAGTACCAATTTGATGGCGAGTAGATGTGGGGCCCATTTTCCATGTCTTGTGTCACCTCACTTTGGATAACGGGCTTAAGCTTAATCCAGGATAGCATAAACAGTGCTAGCTCACAGTCATCTCTTAGGATTGAGTAATATTCCATTGTGAGCATATACCACATTTTAATTATCCACTCGTGAATTGACGGGCACTTGGGTTGTTTCCATGACCGTGCAATAGTGAATTGTGCTACCATGAACATTCGGGTGCAGATGTCTTTATAATAGAATGTCTTATGCTCTTTAGGGTAGGTGCCCAACAATGCTATTGCAGGGTCGAATGGTATTTCTATTTCTAGCTGTTTGAGGTATCTCCAAATTCTTTTCCACAAAGGTTGCACTAATTTGCAGTCCCACCAGCAGTGTAATAGTGTTCTTGTCTCTCCGCATCCTCGCCAGCATTTGTTGTTTTGGGATTTCTTGATATAGGCCATTCTTACTGGGGTTAGGTGCCCATCAAAATACCATCAGCATTCTTTACAGATCTAGAAAAAAATAATTCTTCACTTCGTATGGAACCAGAAAAAACCTTGTCTAGCCAAAGCAATCTTAAATAAAAAGAACAAACTGGGAGGCATCAGTCTTCCTGACTTCAAGATTGAGTAATTTTTAAACAAATGCAGAAGTATTTTTAACAAAACACAAGAGCAGTTAGCCTCTTTACAATTAGCAGAGAAGCTATGAGAACTGCAGACACTATGAAATCAGTCAGTGACAAGACTCTAAAAGGCCTTGAAGATGATCTAGTTCCTTATTCTTGCTGTACAGAGGAAAAAATTAAGGCCCTAAAAAGTGAAGTGCCTCCCTCAAGAGTGGGCTCAGTACCAGAGTTAAGGCTTTGTCTTTCCTTCCTGGCTTTCCCTGCACATCCCACCCTAGGGTTCTGTCCTGCTGCTTCCTTCGTACAAATCCCAAAAGACTGGCTAAAGGTGATGCCAAATCCAGTTATATTAACTGAGTAGCACACAAAACTGGTGACTTCAACTTAGAAAATAATTATCCTTCTGATTCCTAAATCCCCATCTGATTCGTACTTATTAAGTAGTCACCCTTGCTAAACATATGGGTTTGATTTTAAAAACTAAATTTATCAAAAAATAAATGAAAATGAAACGTGATGTATTCCAACCAGAAGCAAAAAATATATTTAAATATGTCTTGTATCCATATCCCCAGAAATTCAATGCTTTCAATCAAGCTTTAAAACTTCCAAATTTAGAAAACCTAATTCATTTTGTTTGTGTTCATATTCACCCAAGCAAAATAGAGCCAAAATGGAATGCAACAAGACTAGAGAAGAAAATACAGGACTCTGCTAAAGACAGCAGTCTGCATGGAAGGAAGGTGGGGTCCTCTTCGGTGTCCTTAGGTGGACATTTGCAGCAGGACTGCAATTTTTTTTGAAAGTCTGGGGTCAGAGAGGAGGATACAGAGAAGAAGGAAGAAGGGGAAATAGAATGTGGTTTAGGATGCCCAAGCTTTAGCTTAAGTGTCTCTTCCACCTTCCTCAGTACATCACTAGGTGATCATGGGCAAGTTTCTTCCTTTCCCTTGGTCTGATTTCTTCATCTTTAAGGTAAGTGACTAAGCAAAATAATCTGTTATGTTTATTGTAATGCTCACATTTGTTTCTAAAGCAAATAGCTGGCAATGACAGTATGCCCACAATATGCAACATACAAGGTTCACTAGCAAAGAACAAATTAAAAACAAAAGCACTCATAAACCTAAAATGCCCATAAGGTGACTTGAATTCTTATCAACGAGCAACAGAACACCATATTTTTGCAAAGCTCCTTTGCGATTTGAAAATTTAACAGCCTGAGCAAGAGCAAGACCCCATCTCTACTATAAATAGAAATTAATTGGCCAAATAAAAATATATAGTAAAAATTAGCCAGGCATGGTGGTGCATGTCTGTAGTCCCAGCTACTCAGGAGGCAAGAGGATCGCTTGAGCCCAGGAGTTTGAGGTTACTGTAAGCTAGGCTGATGCCACGGCACTCTGGGCCAGGCAACAGAGTGAGACTCTGTCTAAAAAAAAAAGAGTGATTTGCCACATAGTGCAAGACATGGCAACGGTTCACCCTCTATAGCATGCTAATCTCACATGACTCTTCTGGCTGCAAAAGGCCAATTTTAGCCTGTGATAAATGGGCCCTATATATATAGTACTTAAGTAGTTACAGATAAAAGGAAGAGATATTCATATAAAGCTTAAGGATCAAAATCTCAGATTTCAGCTGGTTTCTTCCAAGTGCTCAACACTTAGAATGATCATTGATTTTAAAAAAAATACTCCTCTTAAAATTACTTCCCAATTCATATTTTAGGTAAAAATATGGTGTTGCATATTTTGATCTTCACATCCATTAACTAATTCATTCGTAACAACTGAAGAGTTAAATTCAACCTAATGCATTTGGATTTCAGTCCAATTCAATTCAATAGGCATTTACTGAGTATGTCATAAATGCCATGTATTGATTTGAAGCTGTTGAATCAGTCTCTGTGTTCCAGAATAGAAAAAATTAGAATCGCGGGTTTGGATACCTCTCTTGTTGTCAGCAAAGAGCTACAGAAGTAGTCACTGAAATGGTACACTTTATCACATATGTAGTCTGCTCAGAATTCAACCACTTTGGGAACTATGGCCCATCCTTAAAACGGTGCAATCTTAGGACATAAATCAAATACTACTCAATGTTTTTTTTTGTTTTTTTTTTAGACAGAGTCTCAATCTGTTGGCCTGAGTAGAGTGCTGTGGCATCAGCCTAGCTCACAACAACCTCAAACTCCTGGGCTCAAGGAGGCTCAATTTTTTTTTCTAAAAAAATAGAAAGAAATTAATTGGCCAACTAAAACTATATAGAAAAAATTAGCCAGGCATGGTGGCACATGCCTGTAGTCCCAGCTACTTGGGAGGCTGAGGCAGGAGCCCAGGAGTTTGAGGTTGCTGTGAGCTAGGCTGATGCCACGGTACTCTAGCCTGGGAAACAGAGTGAGACTGTCTCAAAAAAAAAAAAAAAGCCGGAGTGTACACGCCCTGTAATTTAAACAAGGGGAGGGATTCTCAGCCTTTTGTTACTTAGGTGCACCCAATATTGTCAGATTCTTCAAGAACGCCAAAAGATTCAAATTTTTGTGTAACAGCAGATTACTAAGTGTTCATTTAAGAAATAAAATAACCAATGCAACCAAAACACATCCACACAAGACTGTTTCGAGACGCTGTATCCCACCTCCATGGAATTCAATGAAAATTCAGGGAGACTAACAGATGGTGCAATGACCCTTTTCTGTGTGCAGCCAGAGGCAAATTCAAGGAGATTTGTGAGCGTCCAAACGGCTCCTGCCAGGAATTTTGCATCGAAACAGAAATCCACGTTGGGAGATGTTTAAATAACCAACATTGCTGCCTGCCCCTGGGGAACCAACCAGTCATTGAGAATACTACACCCACCCAGAAATAAAGCTACAGCCTTTTGTTCATTTGGATGTTTTATATTCTCCCTTTCTCTTTGTCTGTCCTTTTCTTTCTACAGGGATTCTTACTGAGTCCTCCATAAAGAATAAAGCAAAGCTAACAAACACAAAACTTATTTTAAAAATTCATATTGTATGTACGATCACTTGATGACTATTTGGTTCTCTGCAAAATCCATCCTTCTATCTGGTCTGGATGCCCTCCTGGTTGAACATGACCTGGGGGACGGTGGGGGAACTTTTAGTATACCTATTTTGTTTTTTTGAGACAGGATCTCCCTCTGTCACCCAGGCTGGAGTGCAGTGTCATGGTCACAGATCACTGCAGCCTTGAACTCCTGAACTTCAACCATCCTCCCTCCTGCCTCAGCCTCCCAAGTAGCTGGGACTACAGGCACTCACCATCATGCCCAGCTAAGTTTTTTTAATGTTTTGTAGAGACTGAGCCTCACCTGTGTTGCCAGGCTGGTCTGGAATTCCTGGCCTCAAACAGTCCTCCTGACTTGGCCTCCCAAAGTGCTTGGATTACAGGCATGAGCCACTTCTGCAGCCTCTTCAAAGGCTGTGCTCTGGATCTGTCCATGTATTCCTGGCAGAGATGCAGGGAATTTCTCTAGTTCCCGACTTTCACTGGGCATGACCATCAGCATTTTTTTCTGTCTTATGAACCACTGTATTGCCTTCCTATGGCTACTGTATCAAATTAACACAAACGTGGTGGCTTAAAACAAAAACAGTTTATTATCTGTCAGTTTTGTAGGTTAGAAGTTTGATGGGGACCTCTGGGGGCCAGAATCGAGCAGTCGGCCGGGCTGAGCTCCCTTCTGAGGCTCTGTGATTCCCTTTCTCCACCTTTATTCCAGCAAGGGTGGGTTAGGTCCTTCTCATGGCCCATCACTCTGAATTCATCTGCCTCCTCTTTCATTTTCTTAGGACTCTCTTGATTGCATTGGGCCCATCTGGATAATCCAAGGTAATCTCTCTGTTTGAAGGTCAGCTGACTGCAGCCTTAGCTCCACCTGTGGTCTCCATTCCCCCGGCCACGTACGGTGATATAGTCACAAGTTCCTGGGATCAGAGTATGAACTGCTATGGAGGGGAGCAGGCATTATTCTGCCCACCACAGCCCCCAGTGTGTGCTCCACACGTCATCATTTTGTTCAGTTTTAGCTGCTTTGTGTAAAAGCACTGTCATCTATAGAATTTTTTTTATGGAAAGTTATAGAGGCCTCACCCTGGCCATTGAAAGAGTATAGAATCAAGACATTTAAAAGGATATTAACTTCATTTCATTAACTCTGATTCGCCTGATCTGGCCAACAAGGAAGGTAAAGTTGTGCCGCTCTGGGCCACTCAAACTCTCAGAAAGTCCAAAACGTTGGACTCAAACTCTCAGAGACTTCTACAAACTCCAACCACCTCTGCTTTAATAGAAGTGCCAATTCTCTTCAGAGCTACTCGGGACATCACATCACCAAATGACCCTTTAATATGTTTTTGCACTGTATGTTATGTATTCCTTGGGGTAAGCACCTGCCTAGAAGAGAAGCAGCTAGGACAAGTATACTAAAGCCATCGAAATGAATTTCATTTTTCCATTGTTGGGGGAGCTTCAAGGTGGCTGAATAAAGGCCCCTGGCACTGACCTCCCCCACAAAGACCAAAACTATGAGTAGATAGATAACTACGCATCCAAAAGAGCACCTAAGAGGGAACCCTGGGGTTCATCAGGGAAGCGACAGGGAACCTCTGAGAGAAGCCAGCAGCCAGCCCAGCCAGGACGGATGCAGGGATGGGAGGAAAGGCAAGTGAGAGATGCCCAGTGGTCCACACTCCCACTGCGGACTCCCTGCAGCCTCAGCCACACAGGAGTCCCTCAGCCCTCAAAGGCCTTGAAACTGGTTTCGGGAGCTGCCTGGTGTCCATGTGACAGCGCTGTCCCAGCAAGGGAGTTCACACTGGATCCTGTACACTCCCTGAGACCCAAACAGCTGTAGCTCAGCACCCTTCTGGTAGCCCAACCCCCACAAGACGACGTCCTGCTCTGAGGCCCAACAGCCCCTTCATCCCTGGGGCTCCGCTGACACCCCCACATCCACCCAGAGGGCTGTAGAGTCTCCCCTTTTCTGGACCTAGCAGTGCAGCCTGGCCCCCAACACTCTGGCCACACAGTGTCCCATCGTCCTGGGGAAGGGGCAGTGCACTGCACCACAGAGGCTGCAAAGGGAGCCAAAGTGCGCACTTTCCAGAGGCAGAGAGCCACCTGCCTGGGGCTGCTGCTGCTGCTGACAGCAAACCTGGCCACCACACACCTGCCCTCACCTTCAAAGGGCCTGGGGACTGGCCTTCCTGGGTATTGTCCCAGGGCCTGAAGACAGGCTGACCCTAACCACCACAACCACCACCACCATCCGAGCCTGCTGTACAAGCTCCTGCTCACTGCAGCTGTCACTCACACACGCTACCGGGGCACCTGGGCTTAGGCTCCCTTGCAGACTGCCACCACCAGCACCCACACGCATTGTCTGGGGCTGGGAGAGTTAACTGCCATCCTGCCACCACCAGCGCCTGCACACTCCATCAAGGAGCCCACACTAACATATGAAGAGAAACAACAGATGCTAAAAACACAGTATCAAAGACTCTGTGGGACCATATCAAATGGTCTAATGCATGTGTATTTAGAATCTCAAAAGGAGGAGAAAAAGATAACAGGGCAGGGGGGAATATTTAAAGAGATAATGACTAGAAAACTTTTCAAAATAAGGAAAGACATTAAATCACAGATTCAGGCCAGGCGCGGTGGCTAACGCCTGTAATCCTAGCTCTCTGGGAGGGCTAGGCGGGCGGATTCCTCGCAGTCAGGAGTTCGAAACTAGCCTGAGCAAGAGCAAGACCCCGTCTATACTATAAATAGAAAGAAATTAATTGGCCAATTAATATATCTAGAAAAAAAATTAGCCGGGCACGGTGGCGCATGCCTGTAGTCCCAGCTACTCGGGAGGCTGAGGCAGGAGGATTGCTTGAGCCCAGGAGTTTGAGGTTGCTGTGAGCTAGGCTGACACCACGGCACTCAGTCTAGCCTGGGCAACAAAGCGAGACTCTGTCTCAAAAAAAAAAAAAAAATCACAGATTCAAACATCTGAAAAATCAGATTAAAAAAATACTCCAAGCAGTATAAATCACTCACATTCTCTCTCTCTCCTCTCTCTCTCTCTCTCTCTCTCTCTCTCTCTCACGCATGCACGTGTATAATATTCAAACTACTGGAAACAAAATAACATATTACAAAAGGGGGGGAGTCGTGTTGTAGGCAGCAAATACATATAATTTTATCTGTCACAATAAAGAATAAAATACAATAATTTTTAAAAAATGATTTACGAGACAGAATCAAGATGGCGGACGAGAAACACCAACAGACAGAGTGTCTCTGCAGAAAAGACAGATTCTAACAGAAATTAGAAGAAAGAAGCAAGAAGATGAGCATACAGCTGACAAGGGTCGGAAGGAGGGGTACCTAAGACAATGGGAGACTCCACGAGAGGAGGTTGCGGAGGAGAACTGGAAGCTGAGACCGCGGGAGCAGCCCAGAGACTAGCATGAAGGGTAGGTTGATCGGTCAACCTTCCCCTCCCCTGCATCTCGGACTGCTTGCTGGTGGCTCCCCAGTGGGTGGAGAGACCTGCAGACACCAGCCCAGAGACAGCCACCGCCAGTGAGTGGTAAGCCTGTAGCGGATGCGGCACCAGGCTCCCAAACCCCTCGGGGCACCTGTGTGAACAGACCCGAGCCGCGCGGCAGGAGCCACATTGCCTCATTCTCCTCTCCACTGACCTAATCTGCGGCTGCCCAGAGAGACAATATAGCCACCAGCCAGAGGCACTACCAGGGAATGGGACCTTCCCTTTTGGGGCCCTACAGCTGACTAACGGGAACTCAGACTGTGAGCTCCCTACCCGCCAGCCCTCCCAGGAGCTGCTGGCCCGGTGATCCCAGGAGAACGGGGTAGATGCTGAGGCTGAGAAACATAGACCAAATTTGGGCTCCCCGGGGGTGAATTGGGACTGGAACTCCTTTCCCTGGTGGGGATATAGTTTAAATCTGGGGCCCAGAAGTCAGATCTGCAGAACAGATCCCGTGCACCGAGGTGTCAAATGGCCTGGAGCACAGAAGGGATATACGTGAACAGCCTACTGAGGTGTGTGTGCCTTCAGGGGCAGATCAGCATCCTAGAGGGCAACCCTCCTCCCAAAGAGAGGCCATGCACCCAGCCCAGGTTGCATTCCTCCGCAGGGAACCTCCCCGTCGGCATCATAGTCAGGAGAGGCCTGGTGGCGTGTGATCTTGCCTGCTGGCAGTGGCCCAGGAGTAGCTTCAGAGTTGGGGAGGGTGGAAAAAAGCGAGGCCCACTCCACACTATGAGTCTCAGACAGCCCCACCCCACAGGCAGACTTTCTGACTGAGCGGGGCCATTCCAGCCCCTTCCTGACAGCTTTTCCTGGAAGCAGAGAACAGAACTTTGACCTCTGGTAACGACATTGGTGGTGCCTGAGGGCAGGCTTACCCAACCCAGCTCCAACCAGACTCTCTCCTAGACCAGCCCTCACTGAGGGGGAGAAAAGAACACACCTGGAAGTCCCACGGCCCCACCGACCACCTGAGGCACTAGAGTGCCTCTCTACAGGAACAAGAGGTGGCTACAGGACACAAAAACAACAGCGTAGCCTATTCCTCCAGGAAACCGCCAACTACTGACAGGGAGGACATTCTCCACACCTTTTTCATGGCACCTACTGAATCATTATACAGGGCTTGGTCGAATCTCACCCACAGAAACCACCTACTGGCTAAAAAACTAAATGAGGGGTGTCAATACTCAAACCAAAACCTAAAGGAAAGAAACAACAACTGATCGAAATGAGAAGAAATGAAGAACTCCTGGAAATGAAGAATCAATACAGGGAACTACAAAATTCAGTGGAAA